ATTATAAAGTTGGAGAAGAAAGCAAAAACAATCAATATAAATATTTAAAACAAGCTGGGCGGTGGTGGTGCACGCCTTCAATCCCAGCACTCAGGAGGCAGAGCCAGGCGGATCTCTGTGAGTTTGAGGCCAGCCTGGGCTACCAAGTGAGTTCCAAGAAAGGCACAAAGCTACACAGAGAAACCCTGTCTTGAAAAACCAAAAGAAAGGGAGAAAGAGAGAGAGAGAGAGAGAGAGAGAGAGAGAGAGAGATTTAAAACAGCCTGTAAAATTCTGAGTGAATAACTGACCTAGATAAGACTATAGTGGAGGACAGGCAGACTCAGCTCGTAACTTTTACATGGTAATCTAATTTTATGGTTAAATTCTTTGTGTTTGTATATGCATTTTCTTGGGATGAAAATAATGAATCCAAAGAAGCAATAATCACAGTGAAAAACAGCCTTTGTATTTTAGTCAACAATGCTTGTTCTCATAAAAAAAAAAGTCAGGAAGTTGAGGTCATCCTAAAATGCTTGGTACTCCAATAAAATAACGGCATCATTGAAAAAATTTAATGTATTATCAGAACTTTCTTTGGTCTGAGAGATTGGCTGCACCAAGATCGTATAACAGCTATAAAAAGGAAGTAAAAATTCCTTTCAGTTAATAAGAAACCAGGCCAAGAATGATAGAAACATACATTTCTGGGTTCAGAGAAATTCTCAAGTTCATTAACTTGGCATCAAGAATATTGTTCCTCTGTGTGTTCCAAACACAAACACAATAATTAAATGCATTTTTAATCACAAAAAATATGGAAGATGCTGTTTTATGGTCAAAATTTTATTCTCTGCTAAAGCAAAGATAAGAAAAAGAGGAGACAAACACAGATGAAACTTATTTCTTCATTAGGTTGTTACTTCCCTATGATATACCAAAGAGACCTGGAGATGCGCTTATGCATATTAAAAGATCAGTGAATAATAACTGTGCATGAAAGGAAGCAGACATAGTCAGATTTAAACACCACTTTTGGTGCAATGATAATATCAGGATAATTAAGGTATAGAGGACAAATAAATCAGTTTTAAGAACATATCATACAGCATTTTATAGTGATGCAAAGAAAAAATATACTTACATAGAGAGTAAATACATTTTGCACATTAAATTTGTAATATCAGACTGCAACTTTTTTTCTAGTTTTCCCCTAAGATCTCTGTTTGCTTAAACGACTCTGGTTTTGTTTCAGCTATTTCTTTTGGAATCCCTTCTATACGTCTGTACTTTTCATATCTTACATAATTTGAACCTAATCAAAATACTGTGAAGCTGTTATTTCATATTCCTAGTTTAGGAATGAAACTGATGGACACCTATATCCCATCATATCACATTTAAATGTAGCATTAAAATAGATCTGCTCTATTCTATTTTGCAACCGTTCCTGTTTTCAATTTTTGGCTACTAAAAGTGCATTACATACTCACCTCCAGAAATACAAATTTAAATATAGTTTATTTGTTTTATCCTACAAATATTTCTGTTCACACAACTATTTTCACATCTGCATAACATGATTTATTTTTATCAAGATCCAGATGATATATATGTATTTATATGGCTGTATTTACAAGTTAGCATACTATGTAAGGCAGAACTCTTAAGTTATATAATCAATGTAGATTATTAAAACTGGAATTCTGTTCATTTTATTTCCCTTCATTAAATTTGTTTACTTTCTCTTCTGGTTCATATGGTGATAATTATCTGAGTTTGGCTTCTAGAATCAAAGAACAGACACTGAATTTGATAAACGAATAGCATTCTTATTCCTGGCTGGCAAAGTCATTCAGCTGTAATGATGAGTTCTAATATTCATCCCTAAATATAGCAGTGTGAGAGTGTGTGGGTGCAAAGGTGACTCATTTGCTCAGATCCATGGCCTCACATCCACCACTCTCGGTCACGTTTGGAGAGTGAGCAGCTCCAGATTCGCATCAGAAGCAAGACTGAGCCATTCACAGTGCTTAGGCGCTGAGATTAGGAAACAGGGGCCTCTGCATAAACCCACCAGGAAAAGATGTCACAAGAATCTCACAGCATGTTATAATTAGCTGAGTAACTGGGCTGTGCAGGTCAGTCATGTATCAGCATAGGTCAACTGAGCCAGAAGGTCAACTAGCTTTATAACATTAGCCAGAATGTTTCATGGCTTGTAGTCCTTCCTTCATTCTTCCACACATTGTAAAACCTCACACATCTATTGAAGTGTGTGACTGTTCATAGTTGCAGGAAGTGCTAATATTTCCTCCTTTCACTGTATTCTGTAGTCCAGTTTATTCTTTATACCCTAATTTTCAAAACATGGCATGATTTTAATCTCTCACACATTATTTTATTCCAATTTTATATTTACAACTTCATAGCCAAGCATGTTTCCAAAACTCCATTATATTTACTATCAGTAGTAATTTTATTTTTCCTTCATTAAGTAATTTTTCATGTGATTGGTGTATTTTCTTGAATATACTCACTTTTAGTGTTTAGGCAATGATGACAGGCTGATGAAGTGTATTTATCCCATGTAATTATGAGAAAGTATTGTAGATATGTAATAATGATTAAAAATAAAATTTTCTGGGCTGGAGAGATGGCTTAGAGGTTAAAATTTTCTAATATATATTTGTTCACCAGAATGCTTTTGCCTGCTAAACTTGTTTATTTGTTGACAATAATTTAATAATTTATTTGCAAATAGCAATATGTCAAGCTTTTCCAGATATTTAAGATTTTAACTTGTTAAAATAGCTAGTTTTTAAAACTACAAATTTGGAATAGTTTATGTGAAGTATTTGTTAAAGTATTTTTTCTTGAGAAAGGCAAAAATTAGTTTTATTTAGCTTTAAAGCAGTCTTTTAAAAATCTTAAAAATTTAAATTTTTCATTTTATGCTATTTCTGTTAGCATAGTAAATAATTATTTTAGTTAATAATCTACAGCAGACTTGTCAGGACTAAAATATGATTAAGCTTTATTTACATTTATTTGGGGATATTTAATATTATTTTATTAATTAAAATAACTTACATTTTTTAATTTAAAATGATTATTTAGCTAAATTGGTATATAATATGAGTTTGTGGTATTAGATATACATGTCCAAAACAAAAAATATATGAGAATACTGATACAAATAAAATGAAAATAATAATAAAGATGGGAAGTATTCAAAGCTTGGATTACTGTTGCAGTTAGCAGTATAAATGGCAGGACATCTCTCCTGTTGAGTGAACATTAAATGCAAGTAGAGAGCTGTGGTTACTATTGAGATATAAATGCCACTATTCTTCCCCAAGGGTTATCATGCCATGTTGGGCTTTGTTGTAGCTCATAAGTTTTGAAGCTTGGTAGGTCTATTGACTGCTTCCCTCACTGGGAATTTAGCACACCTTCTGACACTATAAAACATAGTCCTCAGGAAGAATGCTTTCAGGTCCTCATATTCAACAGATCTTATGTCCAAAGGTCATGGCATTTTCAGGAACAGGGACTTACCTTCAACCTCCACGAGGTTTCCAAAGTCCACAGCAATTGCTTATATTGTGTAAGGAACCTCATGAACTCCACTGACTAAGAGCTCAAGGGGATTTCTCATGATTGATATTGGGTTTTTGTTAAATAGTATGTGGCTTTCGGGGGAGTACTGTCAGCCCAAGTAAGATAACTTCATTTGAACTGTATGCGTGTATATACGTGTATACATGTAGCCTATTCTATTGTGTGCAGTTTAGTTAAATAAATAATGTGATTCCTTAATAGTTTTTTCAGACCTTCCTTAGTGTCAACTTACCATTCCCCTACCATCTCCTTCTGTATCGACACCCCTCCCTCAACCCAATTAAAGCCCCCCACCTATTTTACATATTCACCCCTTCAAAATAACTTGTACCCTTCTCGTCTTCTGTCTAGTGGTCCATTTTCATGGCCCTTTTTATGTTCCTGGTTTCTGTGGTTACTCTAGGTTATATACTCACATCCAATAATTTTCCTGAGAACCCCAGGTGAGAAAGAACATGTAGCATCTGTCTTATTGGTCTAGTTTACCTGAGAGCGAACTTCCTTACAAATATGTGTGAAAATATTGACAAAAGGGTACAAATTGGGCACTAGTGATATGCAGGAGAAAATAGAATCAACAAAATGTACTTAAAATGATATAATGAAGTTTTATAACGTATTTGCTAATTTTAAAAATTAAATATAAATGTGTAAGATTTTCAACATAGTATTATAAATAAAACATGCTAAGGGTAATGTTTTTAGTATTGTCTATGTTGCTTGAATGAAGAGTTTCAAAATTTCTCTTTTCATCCTGAAAATTCTACTTTTCCTTAGTTGAATTATGAGTCTATAAAAGTTGAAAGTCAGAAACCACAATATCAATTACACTTCTAAGATGGGCAAATGAATTCTTCGGGCCCTCTCATTAAGACCTGTCAGCACCTGACTTCTGGAAGTAACACATTTCCTTCACAAAAGAAGGACATCGTTAATGTTTGCCTTGCATATCCAATTATCATAATTAAGATATTTGTGTCTAAAGTAGTTGGTATTTACAGAATTTATAAAGTGGAGCTGATTTATGACATTGAATCAGCAAATGTTTGCTATATGTTGTTTCTTAATCTTGAAGGAAAAGTAAACAGTTTGACAACATATAGTTTATGCCAGAGTGAGCTAATATGAAATAATTATGACAAAGTCATATAGATTTTTAAAATATATTATTACAAGGTGGTATGATGTCATTAAAATTTTGTCAATGTTCAAAATGTACTTGGCAATTCTTGTTCTGTACATTTATTCATTCTTCAGTAAGACATACTAAATGTTTTAATCCTTTATAAGGTGGTAATTTACATAATTAATTGTACAAAATAATATAGATGAAGGCTCATAGCTGTTTTTCACTTTTTTAAAATAAATTTTAAAATGCATTTGTACTTTCTCAACAGGTCCACTGGTTTTATAAATGGATAGACTTGCTTCCCACTACAAACAGCCTGATAAAAAGAACTGGAAACAGTGAGGCTATTTCAGCAAATAATCTTGAAGAACATTAGTTCATGATTGAAACAGTTAAAATAGCAAAAATGTAGACTTTTAATCTGACTGCTATGGAGTGTAAGGAGGCTCATTCCCACTACAGAAACTCAACCTTTTAAGCAAATAATCTCAAGCCACCTACCAAAGTGAAAAAGCAAGTAAAATCCTGCAGGTTTAAGTGTCTCAGTATCTAAAGCCACCAGGGGCACAAGGAATGTTGCATTGCAGCTATTTTTTTTTTCTAAGCTTGTCTTGGCTTTGGCCATTATGGCTGCTACAGTGACCTATAGAAGATATTGGACATCAATCAAGACAATGAAATGAGCAGAGAAATACATCTGGCAGCTGGCAATGTAGTGGGATTGGGGCTGTCAGCATTCCGCCATGGGAAGAGGGGGAGTCATCGGACTCTCATCTGAGGTTATCATCATACTCTTCTCCTGAGCAGCTTCTCTTGGTGTCAGGGAGTGACAGAGGACATCAAGGAGTGGTGGAACTCACTAGTGACATGTTTTGTAAGTCTTTATCTATACAGGGAATGGAATATTTGAGTGATGTAGTTGTCTCTTAATTACCCATTCTCCTGTAAGAAATCCCAACAAACCTAATAAAGTCATTATGTAAAGCTGAGAATGGATTTCTCTCATTGTTCTATTGGCACTCTCTCTATCTGGGCATATTGTTTATGACTCCCTCTCAGAAGTCATTCGACTATGATGTGTTAGTATGTTCATTGTTCTATATGTGTACACTTCAGAACTGCGAGCATGTTCATTGGGCAGCTAATGCATCTGTGGACAGGAGTGTTAGTGTTCAAAGGTAGTAGTGATGAACAGTCTCACTAAACAACTTACAATTAGATTGTATCTGTATCTATCTGATTTTCAGATCCATCACCAAATAAAGTGACCCAACAAGGCCAGAGTAAGGTTTAAGTCATCTCTGATATAGTCAGTTATTGTTTGATTTTACATTTGAGGGTTTTTCAAATATAGGTGACCTTGCTATTTATGTTGATGAACAAGCAGAATGAAGAAGTATTTCTATTTGTTAGGTAGCTAGCTAGATATTGGCAGGCTTGAAGAACACTGGTGCTGAAGGCCACCCATGCCATACCATAACCAATGTCTTGATAAACCAAGTGCTAGGATTTCAGTACTCTTATTATTGACCATAAGAGGGAGGCCTAAGTAATATCTTTGTCCTTGGGAAGAGATACTTCATGTTGAACTTTCCAGGTCTTTAACTGATAGCTATCTAAACCTGGTTCCAGGAACTTTATACTTTATAAGACGACTAGCTAGTGGTTGGTGTTACAAACACTGCCTTCCAGAAAGAATCAATCAAAATGGGTTGGGCTGTCACTCGGACAGGAAAATGCTCCACAGAGAGGCTATCTCTTCCAGATAAAATGTAATTCAGCAGAATGATTCCTTTGGTCCACAGCTCACACACTTGTGGGGAATGTGCTGTTCTCAGCAATGAACTACCTATCTTCTATGCTATACTCTGTGTCTAAAATTCAGTGTTGGTCAAGGAATGAGAAGCTGGGGTATTAAGATAGGGGCAAAGGAAGATCCTGGTGACAGTCATCAGTGTCATGTGGAAACATTTTCCCAGATGGAAACAGTATTTACTCTCCCAATGTTTTACATATAAAGAGTAGGAACATTGTATTTGTATGTAATTATTTGATTACTTATGAACATTACTATTCCAGATACTTGATATTGAAGTCAGTGAGAGTAGTCTTAAGTCCTACCTTTAGCTCTGTTGTCCTTGGCATACAGATAGACTTACTATTCATATAAACCCAAAAGAATTCAAGGGCAAGAGCCTGCAGTAGCCAGAGAAGGGACAATGCTTATCTGGAACTCCACTGCTGTGAAAACATTTGCCATGATTTCTCCTTATGATGATAGAATTTCAATATTATCCTCTCTAGAAATTGCATAAAAATATTCTGTGTTTCCAGTCAATACACATTTTTACAGACAAACCCTTTCTCATCATACTTTCTTATTATACTCTGCAAAAATGACAGATTACTAACAAGAGTTAGGGAGAATTTGGAAATAAATTACCAGAATTGGTGATAAATTCAAACAATGCTGTAAAACCTCCGTGAGTTCCAGGTGACACCAATAAATCAAACTGAAAATTGTATTCCTGTTCAACATGTGTATTAATTCCACCACACTCACTCAAGCTTTCCTTGTGCTCATGTGCTATTCCATGAAAGTTTTCTGAGTAAAAGAGTATGATTGAAAAACAATTATTTGAAAGCTCAAATTATATTTGTACCTGCAAAGTTAAAGTATGAATTTGACTGTCTTTATCTGTCAAATCACTGGCTTGCTTTGACTTTCAAAGACCCAACAGAAGATTTAAGAAATTGTTATATTATTTTTATCAGTTATATGGCAACGATTTATTTTTTCCCCGCAGTCCTACTGAAAACTGCTGATAGGTGTAATTTAAAAACAGTATACTGAAAGAAGGCAGAGATAAATATGAGTGCTGATCTTCCTTTTGATTTTGCAGTCACCACAATTCTTCTCTTTATAGATATGTACTCTCGGAGTACACTATTCAAACAAGAATGATATTTGTACTCTTCCAAAGACATGTTTTCTCTCTGACATGTCTGCTGATGCCTTCTGGACTGTGATTTACAAGTTGCTTCTGAAGACTGAATTTCTCATGTGTATAAATCAAGTCTCCATGAATAATGGAATTATTAATATCCTGAAAAGTATTTTAAGAGCTCCTACATAAAGATTCCAATATATGCTGTAGGATAATAGAACACTCAAATTAGGCACTTTCTATTCTCATGTAGTCATTTTGATGAAATACTGTGAAATGGGGAAAAACCTTGAAGTAACAAAATTTTGGTTGTGAGGGTGGGAGAAAGGTTAAGAATGGTGAGTTTACAAAGTATTACATAGGCTCATAAGTTAATCTGAGATTGAGTGAAGAAACGATATTTCAGTCGTGGAAGAAAAACATTCAAAGACTTAAAAATGCAAATACCCAGGGAATGGAAAAAGGCATAGATTGAGAGTGGAGAAGACTGCTAGGAAGCCGCTTGCAATAAGGCCATGACACATGGTATTGGGTATAGGTGGACAAATGTCAGGGGATGCCATTTTAAAATTCTAAGATCACACAACTGTGTTCATATGCTTCTATAAAAGAAATGGCAGGCACATTTAAACAATAAATGCCTTCAGCTTGAAAAACATTGAACTAAGAAAATTTTGTGTGAGGTCTTTTATTATATCAAAGGCCAGAGTTATGAAAATATGAAAAATTGGGAGGACGAGAAAGGGCAGACTGAAGCACAGCCCTGTGCATTGTTAAATGGAAAAGTACTAGCTGAACTTTCTCTTGACAGACTGGGTGGATAGAATTAAGGTGAGTCAAGGGTTGAAATGAAACCAACATCTCTAACTTACCCCAGTGAAGAGGAGTACAACAGTCAATCACAGGGATAAGTGAGGTGTAGATCAATTTGGGGTGAAATTTATGAATTTCACTGTTACATTTGATCATCTTGGGCTGAGACAAAGACATGTCGCAGGAAGAACAGGTTCTGTGTTAGAGCAGTAATTGTAAATTCAGGGAATATCTGCATTATTGGAAGAGTCAAATTTGCTAAGAAATCTTTTTTTAAAAAAAATAAAAAAAAAAGGGAGAAATGGTATAAGAAAATGAGACAAGCTTGTCAAATAATTCAATTACTGTTTTATAAGTAAGGTACATATATTTACCTCAATGTGCTATGCTTCCTCTCACAAGATGCTTAAGGTAAATTTAAAAGTAACTGTTATTTTTCATACAAAATTTCACTTTAGGAGCACCAGAGAAGAAAAAAAGGTTTGCTAGAAATTCCTTGGTCAACCCTTAATAAGAAGTGCCTGGGAATTTCCTCAACTCTGTACTCTTACAAATGAGGGAAAGCATCTTGAGTCAAGTCATGCCCCTTCCAGTCCCCAATTTCCTATGTGTGGTAGTGTGAGAGGATTTGAGATCGATAGAAAACATATCTTAACAAAGTACATTGAGCTGTGATGGAGTATAATTCTCAACAGTGGTGCACTGTACATGTCTTATAACCTCCACACCCCCCAATGGGTATGTAGAAACATCAACAGAAAACACCGTGTGGAAATTACCATCCATGAGACACCAGGACTCTCAGCTACTGAACAAAGTTCCTTAAAGACATGGCAAGAAAACAGATTAGAGTTTTAAAGACTAGCAGGGAACACAGTGCTCTTAATATTGAATTTACAGGATTTGGCTCACCAGAGTTTTAATCTCAGGCAAACAGCTTGCTGCATCTTAGTTAATACCCTTGGGTGGAAACTAATTTTACTGTTGATTAGCTATGAACATATTTGAGCTTGTACCACCATGAGAAGGGACAAAGTTTGAGCCAGTATTTTATCTTTTTTTTTTCACTTTAGTAATCATTTAGTAGTGAGGAGTAGGTATTTACATAGATAGGTAGATTCTTAGAAAATTTAATTCTTTCAAATAAAACAAAGGTAAAACTCCCTTAAGTATACACTCATTTCAGTGTTGATTAAAGAAAAATAACATAATCTTTTGAAATTTTGTTAAGTACTCAGGATTGAAGTTAAATCTCACCTCTTAAGTATATACACTTACTACAGTTTTGCAATGGTAGCAGACAAAAGTATCCCAAATAGATTTAGGGATTCTATTTTCCTCCTTTCTTTCCCTCCCTTTGCTTTCCTTATTCTTTCTTTCAGATTACAAGCTCCGACAAGATGCAGTGTAACACGTACAGTAAATAGCCGATGTCCCCATCACGATTTGTCATGCGCAGAAGCAATGTGTTTTCTCAATGTGATCTTTGATACTGTTTTTTTTTAAATTCCAAGTGTTTATAAAATAATCATAAAAGAGAAATGTCACAACAAGTGCTTTATACAAAAAAAATATTGTCTCCATGTTGATTTTAGTTAAGCTTATTTCTCTTTATTATACAGATTTTGTTAGGTTCTTGGGGATGGGGGTTGTGCATGCTAATATTATTATATGCTGCCTTATTTTAATATTCATTCATATACCTATCCATAGGTATTTTTATTACATCTAGATGTATATAAAACAAAATACTACACAGTTTTTTTCAATGTGTTACATCCAGTCACTCAAACAGTTTCTTAAGATTGCCAACAGACCTGTACTACTTTTAATATAATTACAGAAAGTATTAGTGTCTATATTGATTTAAGGAGCCAAATATGATTTATAAACAAAAACAAAATAAAAACACATCTACTTTGTTTGCAGTTAGGGAGAGCATGTATAATACATGTGTATATTAAAAGAAGACATAACTGTGAAATTTTATTGAAGAGAATATGGTGACACATGGGAGGACTTCGAAGTAGAAAAAGGAAAGGAGACGTGTGTAATTATATTATGTGGTTGATATATTGTACATCCCAATAAAACCCCCAATAAATTTATCTGGGGGTCAAAGAACAGAACAGTCACTAGATTATACATGGAGGCCAGACAATGGTAGCACACACCTTTAATCCTATCACTTGGGAGGCAGAGATCCATCTGGTTCTATGTGAGTTCAAGGCTGCACTGGGAACAGAGCTAGGCAGTGGTGACACACACCTTTAATCCCAGGAAGTAAGATGGCAGGACACAGAAAGCTATATAAGGCATGAGGAAACAGAAACTCATTCTATTGAAGCTGAGAACCAGGAACTAGAAGCTTTTAGCAGCAGTTCAACTGAGACCCTCGGGGGTGAGGACTCAGAGGCTTTCAGTCCAAGGACTCATGGAAACAACATTGGCTAAAGAGTTGGTGAGGTGAGGTTGGCTGAGGCTTGTTCTGTTTCTCTGACCTTTCAGTTTTCACCCCAATATTTGGCTTCATGTTTTTTTATTTATAAAACCTTTTAGATTTGTATTACAATATTATAATCTCAAAAAGAGAAATATTTTTAGTGTGAAATCTTTAAAAATTTCTGCTTCTTTGTTAAGACAATAAATAGAAGACTTAGTACTCAAAATGCAGCCGAGCCTGGGCCTCTATTCTAATATTAAACAGATCACATGATATCATATGTAGCTATGAGAAATAAATTATGTGCATGTAAAATGCATCAGGGTTTCAACTCTTGTTGTATTTATTAGCATTCCCAATTTATTGATCTACAATGTATTCAAAATACTTCAAGAAAAATCATTAAGCAAATTAAAAATAAATCATATTAAATATCTAATTAGTCACTGAGTATGGGCATTTGAAGAGATTCAGAGTCAAGTCTCCATACAACAAACACATACACATGGCTCTCTAATTCTCTATGACTGAACAGTACAGAGGTACTTAGGTGATGTTTGATTTCACATCTGTGTCTCTAACAATTCACATTTTATTATTGTGGAACAAAGATTACTAAAAATTTTTAAAGTGATATTTTACTAAAACCAGTTTTTTTCCTGAAAATAAAACCAATATAAGCAAAACTAGAATCTGTAGTTAAAAATAATTTATGAATTTCTACAACTATTTTTAAGGTTAGTTTTACTTAAATATATCACTTATACTAAAATATTTAATAATTTATTAGAAGGAATAAAAGCTTCCTTATACATTTTGTGGTAAATGTTCTACTAAGGTTTGCATCCAACAAAAGTAAAAAGAAAACTCACTTGGTTGATGAATGAGGCCATGGATCAGGATAGCATAACAGATTAAACAGCTACATGTCATCAATTTGTGAAAACTATTAAAATGAAATTAAAATTAACATTTTAAAGTTATCACTTGATTACTTCATGTTCCTCTGGTAGGAAGACTGTGATGCCCAGAGAATAATGGTGTCTTTTGGATATGGCAGAGATCACCCATAAAGCATCTTCGATATGGTGGGTAAAACAAGTCCCATATAATGACTATATCAGTCAAGATGCTGACATGTATAGGGGAAATTTCACAAGGTCCATCATGAGATGAAGAGCTATAGGCAATTGATGGCTGGTGAGTGGGGAGAATCAGTTTTCTCCAGGGACAAGTCCCTCACCACTTATCAAATTCCCCGTGGCCATAAAACAACACTAAACTGAATCAGTACATTGCATAATATTATTATGTATAATGTATATATAATAATAATTATAGAAGTCATGAAA